CGGCAGGCGGGCGGAGGGGGGGAGGGGTGGTTATAATAATATACATAATAAGCGTTTCGATGGCCATACTGAATGCCGATGCGAGGTGGAATGAATTGAAAAACTCCGAGTTGGAGTTGCTATCTTCTCGGTGGGGGCTGTGAATCGTGATTAGGGAGAGTATGTATACGTAGTACATATTAGAGTCTACATCGTTACTACGAATACTTGACATGAAGGTCACTTATGCTTGGGTTGATAAGTACCCTGACTTGGAGTACTTACTTGCGGTGAAGCCTGAAAGTGGTTCGGGGACTGGGACTGTTCCTGTCGGGATACGTATGTACTACTAAGAAGTATGTACTTGGTATCAACTTACATTTGAATGAGGTGAGGTTTGAGTAGTAAGAAAAAAAAAGGCGGCGGGGTTGCTTTCTGATAAGGATTGAACGTGTAAGTATCGTATATGTACTCCGGGTCTGTACGCGTCAGTGATATATCGATATCGGTATCGAAGACCTAGGTAAATAAAGTAAAGTAAGTGATGAACTGAGGAGTGAGGAGTGAGGACTGGGGTGTGGACGACGGGCTCAGGATGATTGGCCGTTGCGTTGCGAGATGCGTCGGATTTTCGGAACGATGTACTTACTTTAGTTAGTAGACGTACCCCTACAAGTTTTTGATGTTATTTTTGGCAGTCTCTAGGAGATGATGGATCGATAGATGGATAGATACTAAGATAATGAGTACTGTATAGTTGATGTTGGCGCTGGAATGACTTCGGAGGTCTTTCGGATTTCGGACGTTCGGACAATGTAGACATGCTGCATCATGATATACTTACCCTAAGTATTATACATGTTCGTGACTTGCTATTGTGTATCGTACCTGCGTAAGAGCGTATCTATGCGTGTATGTACATAATCAAGTTTGGTTCCTGGAGATAGACATCCGGGAAGGGATTGAACTACGTATATAGAGGACATTCATGTTTGAATTTTTAGTTATTTTACCCTCTATTTTTACCTCGTGTTTACTTGAGTAAGTAGTTGACTTGCAGGGTTCGGGCCCTTGTACGTATGCATGTAAGTATATCGGATCCAAGTTGCAGTGTAGTATGTATGTATGTAACTTATCAAGATTCAATACGCGTCAATGCACGTCGTTGTACATGTTGCACTAGCGGAACGTATGCGCTTAGTTGCTGTACACTGGAGTCGGAAATATCGGGTTAAAAGGATTCGTAGTGTAGACCCGAATCACCGATAGGTGTAGGTGTAGGTGTAGGGCGCGATGAAGAAGACCTGGTTTCGGATTCGGAATTTTCGGTGAAGGATCCGGATACTAACATGGTGCTATGTACCGTAACCGCAGGGACAAAAACAAAACGACATACGCGCTGGGACGCAGTCTGCTCCTAAGCCTGTGAACCCTGTGAAGATCCTTCCCAAAGTTGAAACCGAGGCGAAAGTGCCCGAGATATGGGTTGGGTTGGGTTGGGCTGGTTTTCGCGGGTCAATTCGGGAATCGGGATGGTTTTTCACGGAGATTTTGGATTGACGTGGCGCAGTGAGAATTAAGCTAATTTCGCGAGATGAAGGAAGGAAGGAAAGGAAAGTGTGGTGTGTGCGTGGGCACACGACCTTTACACACGATCCGGGGTATCGTTGACGCGACGCAAGGAACTTGGGGATGGATTATTTTTTGAGCTCTAGATGGGTAGTAGTACTAGTACTTGTTGGGACGTTTCCGCTTTCCCGACGCGTCAAAGGACGACGGAGGATATGGAAGGAGCTCCGAATATCCCGATGTTGTGATTTATTTTCGCACGGATGCGCTCCTCTCGTGTTTCCATTTTGAGCTGACGAAGAAGATCAGCTGGACTCGTCATCTGATTTAGGTTTACTGGATCGAGTTAAAAGGCCCTTATAATAGCCTCGATGACAATGACAACACAAGAATTACACCTTTTGCTTCGTCTTCACTTTGAGGTAATCCTTTTTTTCCTTCCTTTTCTAGTTGATACTCATTGTTGGTAGGACTAGGACTAGATTCTCATAGACCGACTGTATATTCTATATACCTATAGACCCCCCAAGTCCGCCATGTCCAAATCCGGTTCAGCAGCTCCTCCGTTACCTGTCCCGACTCCTCCCAGCCCATCCCTCGCTGTTCCGAAAAAGAAACCATATCCTTTCTGGCTTGGGGGTGTAGCTGCCACTATTGCTGCCAGTATCACTCAGTAAGTCTCTCAACGGTTTCCTTGACTCGTTTACCAACTCGTTTCCTTTGACAGCCCCCTCGATCTAACCAAAGTCCGCCTCCAAGCCTCTGGTGACAAACGCATGATTGCTAGTTTGAAGAAGACGGTATCTACTGCTGGTGTAAGGGGTTTATTCGATGGTCAGTCTTCTCCGTGTACCCCATACCCCGTACCCCGTACCCCGTACCATATCCCCATTCCTTCCTCCCCCCGTGCTGTTCATATTAGCTTCCCCTTCCCGCTCCCCGCGTTACCCTAAAAGCACTCCATTCTTACCACGCCCTTTCTTCTTCTCCCATTCACTGCACAGGTATATCCGGAACATGGATGCGTCAAATGTCATACTCCATGTGTCGTTTCTGGGCATACGAAGAATCCAAAAAGTTCCTCGGAGCAAACACCAAAGACGCTCCCGCTTGGAAGTTGGGTCTCGCAGGGAGTATGGCTGGTGGTATTGCTGGGTTTGTTGGGAATCCTGGAGGTGAGTCGTGCTCCCCTTGAACTGGGGATGTTCCTCCTCTCTATCATCGGTCGTTTGGTAACCCTCTTCTCTCTTTGATTAGAAATCGTCATGGTCCGATTACAAGGCGACTTTGCTAAACCCCCAGAAAAGCGGTTCAATTACAAGCATTGTTTTGATGCCTTGTTCAGGGTTAGTGGTCGAGTCTACCTACTACTTGATGATGACCTCTTAATTCCTCATGTTCATGTCATTATCCTCGCTTAGATGGTCCGAGAAGAAGGCCCTTCCTCCCTCGCACGCGGTGTCGGTCCGAATGTGTTCAGAGCGATATTGATGAATGCCAGTCAGTTGGCTTCGTGAGTGTCACTTCTTTTTCTTCTTCTTCTCCCTTTTCTTCTTCCTCTTCTTCTTCTCTGTTTGATTGCGTGGGTCGTGGATCGGTGGACGGAGGAGATGGATGGATAGGCGGGAAGAGCGTACACGGTACACGCCGCCGATGTTGGTGTTTTGATAGGCAACGCACGGGTGTGTGCGCGATAAGCAGGCGCTGGGAATTTCCATCTGTTCATCCTTCTGCCTATCAATTTCTCATTTTATCACATTCCTCTCTCTTTTCCTTCTCTTCCACGTTTGTCTGTCTGTCGTGTTTTACTCACCGGCCCATGACAGATACGACTTTTTCAAAGCCGAACTCCTTAAGACGTCCTATTTCGAAGATAACATTGCGTGTCATTTCACGGCTAGTTTCGCTGCTGTATGTTTTTGTGTTTCTTCTTCTTCTCCCTTGTGGAAGTTCCACGCGGATTTTGGCGCGTATCCGATATCCGATGCGCATTCGATATCCAATGTCCGAAATCCGAAATCCGATTACTGATTTTGCACTCGTTGGTCTTGGTTTTTCACAGGGTACGGTAGCGACGACGGTATGTTCACCGGCGGACGTGTTGAAGTCGAGGATTATGAATGCGAGTGGACCGGGATCGTCTTCTACGATTGGTGCGATTCGGTGAGTGCGAGGGTTTCTTATTGGGAGTGGGGTTGTTTTGCTTATGGTTATGGCTTGTTTCCGTTCCCTTTTCGTCTCTCTCTGGTTGTTTGCTTTTTGCTTCCTCCTGCCGTGGTTACTCGAAACGTTATGCCACGGCGGCGACCACGACCTGGACCATGATCACGACTGCGACTGCGATTGCCCCCGATGACACGACGCGACGCAACCACAACCTCAACCTCAACTCTACCCTTACTCAAACTCGGACCTTACCCTACCCTACTCGAACCGCAAACCTCCAGAACGGCGATCGCGAACGAAGGCCCAACATTCATGTTCAAAGGCTGGGTCCCCGCCTGGATGCGTCTCCAGCCTACGACGATATTGATCTTTTTGACGCTTGAGCAGTTGAAGAATGGGGTGGATTTGATGAGGGGGAAGGGGTGGGATTATTTGTGAGGGATGAGGGATCCCGAGTGAGGGTGAGGGTGGGGTATTTATTCGTTTAAACACAAGCGAGAGGGGAAGGAAAGGGTGTTATGAATGTATGTATGTATGTATAATAGGGAAGGGGAAGGAGAAGGGGGACAGCGGGTAAGCGGGTCGGTGCGGAGATAACGAGGGGGGGAGGTACCCCCGCGGGAGGACCCACAGGAGGGAGGGGAGGGGTACGGGGTAGGTGCTGTCAAGGTTAAGGTATTGAATGCTTGGGCGGACGTAACGATGACTTTTTTTTCACGATTGCATACCATTTTGCTATTTGGTCTAGTGAGGGCACGGCAGGGAAGGGAAGGAAAGGGAAGGAGGTCAAACTGAACGGTTTATCGCTGTAGGATGGTGGTTGCTTTTTTGCATGTTGTGTATGTACATATTCATACGTTGTTTGTAGTGTAACGTTTACCGGCGGATTCTTTTTTTTTTTCCTTATTATATCGCGGTTGTATATAGAAAGCTTGTACATGCTATTAGTTGTAATAAGCTTTTTTTTTCTTTATTTCGTTTGATTTTGGTGTTGTACTACCGCTTGGGGTATGCCCTTGGACGTGGTGAGTCGGACTCTTATGCGGTCGTTGGTTGATGTCTTGGATGTTAGGTCTTAGCCGATACTGAATAAGTTATGCTCGTTCCATTCCATTCTGTTCCATTGAAATACTCATTCATGCTGTAACTCGACGGCGCTGGGGGAGGGGTTAAAAGGAATGAAATGAGAGGTGTCTCGTTTCGTTTCGTGTTGTCCAAGTCCGAGTCGGTATGGTTTTACTTTCGAAGTATGGGCATAAACCCGAGGGAGACCGGAATAAACACATGGTGAGATGGCCGAGTGGTCTAAGGCGCTAGATTTAGGTATTTCAAAAATCTAAACTCTAGTCATTCGTGGCGTGAGTTCGAATCCCACTCTCATCAATGATAGCAACCGCAACTGCTTTTTTTTTCTCTTCATTTTGCTATTGCCGTTGCTGTCGTTCATAGTTTGAGGTTATTTTGGACACATGAATACTTGACTATGTGTATAAGTATAGGTAATATGTGTTCACCTACCTTGGCCTGGGTTGGTATTATTTTCGTTTGGTTACAGCGGGCTTATGGTGTTAGGAACGATAAACACCAAGGAAATATGCATGCGCAGCGACAGCCTGGGCAGCTCCGCCTGAAGCTGAAGGTCCAGGAGAAATGCATTGAGAGCGGCAGTAGCGCCACTTATGTGCGTAAAGGTCGGAAGTGAACTACTAACGGCACTGCATCATAATTGGGTTACTCAGTAATATCTCAGTGCGATGAGATATTGCGTATGCGGATGACTAGCTTCTTCCGTGTCCTAGGCTCATTCAGTCGAGATCTAGTAAGGCAAGAGGTGTTCGGTCTTGCCAAGTAAGAATGTTCGCGTTAAGGACCAAGGTTCTTTCAGTGCTTATTGCTCTTTTTTTGTGTCTTGTGAGCCAATTTTTAAATTTCAAGCAACCTCACATCTCTTTCTGCTCAGGGCCCTACTTTCGGTTTTATTTTTCCAGCATTCCTTTTTTTTTTCTACAGACTTTTGGCAAATGTAGCATGTTACATTGGACTTGTTGATATTCAGATCTTTTTTTTTTATTCTCAATAGTTATTTGTTAATGGACCTTGGAGCAAACATCACTCCTCACTTTTTGGACACTGTGTTTTATGAAAGACAATTTTTCTTCTTGATTTTTTGTACTTGAACAGCAGACATTGACTTTTTCAGTGTGGTAAGCAATGTACATATTACATAGTACTTGTAACCAGCCTCATTGAGAGCATTAAATGGGGTTAACAAGTCTGAGCTGTTAATAACTACATTGCCCATGTCAGCCACTGGAATTAATCAGATAGGAAAATCTGTTTCAAACTCCCAGAAACTAGACCTCAAAGTCATTTACACTGTGTTACGAAATTGCTTTTCTATTTTTTCATTTTGTTTATTTGCTGTTGTTTTAGCTCATTACGATTGACTGATCAGATCATTTATTAAGTACAACAGGTTTACAATAAGATAGATGTATGTTCTTTGATTGGAGATTGTTTCATTCTATCTATAATACTTACAATGTTTGGTTATTGTTTTACTTTCACAATTGAACTTAAGATTATTATTATTTCTCATAGTATAAATACTTGTTGTTTCAGTAATATAGTCTTTAGCTTCAATCTTGTCTTTTCTCCTGTACTCTTGTATTCTCAATAAACTTGTTTCTTGATTCCTGACACGATGTCTAGTGACTTCAACAGTTATATCAAGGGCCTTTACTGCTATATCTCAATAGTTGAGTTTACAGTCACTGACAGAAGATTGAAGCTTGCTTTACACCAATTGTCGCAAAGCTCTTACACACAGTGTACTGACCCATCATTATAACTCTGAATTGCATACCTACTTGTCATTGTATTTGAACCTTGATCTTGCTGACCCAGCCTGAAACATTTCACAAGGTGCTGGTGTTCCAGGCATAACCTAGGCAGATGAACCCACAGTAGGGTCAACCAAGACTCCTGATTGCTTTCCAAAGATTGCTGTACTGTTCTACAGTGAGGTTCTGTGGAATCAAGAAGACCAATACTGGTATTATGTAAGCACCTAACCTTTTCTTACCTACATTTTCTCTACATTGCCCTTGAGTGAAGGGTGGTGTGCACTTGGATTCTATTTTCTTTCCCTTTTCAACACACTATCTCCAGCTAGCAAAGTACTGTACCAATTTTGACCACTTCATAAGGGGGTGCAAGCATGACCACCTCATATGAAAAAATATTTTTGTATGCACCCTGGGGACTGGGGACTTTACAAAAATTTGGCCTGGTTTTGGCGAAAAAATATTGTTAAGCGCCTGTAGGCGCTGTTGAAATTTGAATTTTTTTCATAAAAAATAGTGAAGACATGTGACAGTGTGTGACAATTTGGTCTGTAAGGCACTGCTGTGACCTTTGACTTACGAAGTGGTCGAAATGATACAGTAGTTGCACCATTTGCTTCAGTCTTTGTGCTGGCATAACCACTTAAAAAGGGTGTGTAATGTTGAGACTGACATGCTGTGCAGTGGTAGCAAAGAGCATTAGTATCTAATCTTTGGAGAAGAACTTTTGCAATGAGAGACATAGTCCCAATCCAAGTTAGGGGGGGCTTGTTCTACTCAGCAAGCACTAGAGATAGTTGGACTGAAGTCATGCCTCAGACTTAAAAAGTGGTGAATTCCAGATTTTCTGGATTTCAACAAACCTTGCCTACTGTTCCTTCTACCCCAACACATTCCTCCTGATCATCCTCATCCACTACACCTTCTATCCTGTCTGAATCATCTATGCATGCTGGACCATCTGCACCAAGGGCAGCAGAAACCCCAAATTTTCCCATCTACAATCCTTCACAAGGATCTATTAATGACTGTGTAAGACATTACCTAGGACTGAACATTTGGCACACCATTAATACAGCATGGAAAGAAGCAGAAGTGGAAGCTGATGCCACTGATACAGCAGAAGAACCAAGTCCTCCTAGAGGCATGCCTCTGAATGATGGTCAAAGATCATGGGAAAGATCTCGATCACCAGTAATTGATGTAAACCAGTCATTCACACCTACTACACATGGGAAGTCCCTGTTGAAGGAACTACCAATCTTTGACAGTAACAAAGACATGTACCAAGAATGGCAGAGGAAACTGTTTGTGTATATTTGAGATCTGAGGAATAGGATCAATACTGACACAGAACAGATTGACATCACATTCTCATATATCAAAGGTCCCAAAGTCAGGGACTGGGTTCAGAATTTCCACCACAACTACTACAGCTACAGTGGAGAAAAATGGGTTTGCTCATGGGCATTCCTGAAACAGGAACTGAATAGACAATTCCTGGATAGGGCCAGGGTTGATAAAGTGCAGGAAGAATTCAAGATAATCTGGCAAAGGGCAGGAGAGAAGGCCACAGATTTCTTTTCTTGATTTGAGATTTGTGTCAACATGGCACAGTACAAGAAGGATGATACTTTTGTCATGAAACAATTAAAGACTTGTTAAACCCAAGATCATAGATCAGGTCTTTGGAAGCAACCAGAAATTGCCTGTCAGATATGAGGCATGGAAACAGGTGATCATTGATATACATGGATTGTGGGATAGAAGAAGAGAAACACAGAAAGCCTGGGGCTCTTTATTCCAACAGACACCTCAACAACAAATGGCTCCGGCAGCTCAACACTCGACACCTGTTGCAGATCAATGAGATAGTACTGGCATAACATTTGGGGACACTGGATGTCCCCTGGATTTGGACAAAACTCATTCTGAAAGGTGATGCTTCCACTGTAGCAAGAAAGGCCATTTAGCATGCAATTGTCCAAAGTGTCAGACCACCATCAGAGCAATGGAAATTGATCCAGAATCCAATGATAGGGGACCTACTAATCCAGTTACTAAATATTCAGCAACTGTTTTCTTCACTCAACAATGAACAGTGAGCTGTGCTCACTAAGGAATTAGGTTTTGTCTTGACCTTGCAGCAGATACAGGTTCTGCAAAGGATACTCTGGTTATGGACAATGTTTCAGATAATTATGTAGATAGTGGTATTGTATATACAATAGATATTACTTCTTTGCAATCTACTATTTTATTGTCTAAACTGAGTGAAAATCCTGTAAGACATGAACCTTGGACATCTAAATGGTTAAATCAAGTTCCTCAGTCAACAAATATGCTGAGAGCTTGGATGCCAAATAAGAGAGAACAGAAAGCTTCAGAACAAATGGTACTGACAATTCAACAATTGACACATGATGATGCAACTAAGGCAATAAAAAGTCTTAAAATGCAATAAGAAATTTGTCTGTGGTACTAAAGAATAGGATCTTAAGCTTAGTGTCATTGTCCAAGACATCAGAAATGGAAATTGCATTAAAGCTAATGTTTTAATGCCAATGGATCTATAGAAGGGTATATGGAAATACAAATGACAATTGGAGACCATGCTGAAAAGATTGAGTTAGCTGTTACCAATCTTGGCAATATGGACATATTCGTAGGTCTCAATTGGCTTTGCTTTCATAATCCCTCAATAGATTGGCCAGAATCAGTAGTCACATTTGATTGTTGTCCTGATAAATGTGGTTACATTTACAATCCATGGTGGATCACTCCTGAGGAACAATCCCTTCATCAACTTTCTGAAGGTGATTGTTTGTTTATATTTGACTGAGAAGGCTATGTAACCAATATTAGCCATCTCCAAGCAGTTAATGTGTTGAATAATACAGCTGAGGAATATGTAAATCAACATCCCACTGTATTCAACAAAAAAGGTTTTAATTCACTACTGGATAGACACCCATGGGATCATGCAATTGAACTGACACCTAGATCTAAACTTGTGGACTGTAAAATTTGCCCTCTGAATCTGAATGAGCAAAAGGCACCTGATGAGTTTTTGGAAGAGAATTTACAATCTGGATGAATTCAACCATCCATGTCGCCAATGGCTTCACTGTTCTTCTTTGTGAAGAAAAAAAGATGGTAGTCTTTGACTGGTTCAAGATTATTGGAAACTCAACAAGATGACAGACAAAAACCATTTTCCTCTTCCATTAATTCAGGAACCTATCAATAAACTCGAGGGCACTAAAATATTCTCAAAAATGGATATTCATTGGAGATACAATAATATTTAGATCAAAGATAGTGATGAATGGAAAGCAGCTTTTAGGACAAACAGGGGACTCTTTGAAGTCACTCCTGGGCTTATATAGATTGACAGATGTTTCATAACTATATTGATTAACAGTAAGGAATGCATAAACCCACAGGAAGATGCACCATGTCATGGTGTCAAGAATTTAGAGAGCATGGTAGTGATGAGGAAAGGGTGGAAAGATGGAATGCAAAGAAAGGGTAGAA